CCCAGGCTCTGGTCGATGTTCTCCCCAAGCCGGCCCTGGCATGGTTGTTTGGACCAGAGGGGCCTGATGAGAATGTGGGGGCCTGGCCCTGGCGGCACAGCAGGTCCCGAGTGAGCTGGGGACACTGGAGCAGGCCCACAGCACTATAAATAGATGCCATGAGACCCTGAAGCAGAGGGCCAAGGCCTAACTCCAGTTTGGGTGAACGGTTCTCTGGTTTCCCTGGGAGTGGGAGGGGGACTGCTGCCTTCTAAGGAACGTTCCCAGGCTCAGCCCTTCTTGAGGGGAGCTTCATGCGGAGGTGAAGCCCAATGTCTTCATCCTGGTCCCTCTTCCCTGACCACCGGCTCTGCAGTGTGAGGACAGGCCAGGCAGAGGGGTGAAGCTTCACTCTGCCCATACTGACCATAGCTCCAGAAGAAAGGGTGCAGGCACAACGAGAGATAGCCAGGAGCTATTGACCAGGACAGGGGCAGCCTGTAAATGTAGCTGTAGGCAAAGTGGTCAGAGAGGGCTGGGCTACGGGCAGCGGGTCCTGTGGTCACCGCCCAGAGGGATGTCCTCAGCGTCTGGATGTCCTCTCCCTGTTGCCTCAGCCTAACCCCTGTCCAGTCTTTCCTTCCCATCAGAGCACCCAGGCGCTCAAATCCAACCTTCTCTTTGCCATCTCAGCCTATCTCCCCATCCCCCCGGCTCCCAGGGTGGGGGTGGGTGGTGGTGGTGTCACATGGCCACCTCTGGGCAGTGGTTCTGGCTCCTACACAAGCTGGGGTTACCCCTAAAACTGTCCTAACCAATGACTCTGGGGAGCCTCTGTCCATACAGCAAGCCCTCCCTCTACCCCTGTGGACAAGGGGACAAAGAGACCCCAGGGTAGCATCCTTTCAGAGCCGCACACCTTGAACCCAGTACCGGGAGCACAGGGTGCGCAGGGTCAGGCCCACAGCCCCCGCCGGGCTCGCCAGGTCCACGATCAGGGGGCCCCAGAAAGCGCAGCTGCTGCTCCGCTGGGGACTCAGGTGCTTTTTAAACCCACCCCTTCTCGGTGTGCAGGCTTGGCGCTGCCGTGGCACCTGCTTGCGCCCGGTCCCTGAGCTCTTATATCCCAGACTCGCCCCTTGGCAGAGGCCCCACTTTCATGCGCTATCGGAGACTTTCTCCTTATACATGTTGGTGTGCTCTAACTATTGCATAAGCTTCTAGAAGTTGGCTGCAGGTGTTTAGGGTTTTATTTTGGGGGGGGGGGCAGCTGGGGAGTGGAGGGTCTGATTTTCCATGCTTCCCACCCTCCCACCCCTAAGCCAGCCCAACGCGCTAGATAAGACCGCCATTTATACCAGATGCCCTTTTCATCTGCATCGAGGCCGCGGCTGTGCCCCAGCTTACACAGAGCATCACTATTCCCTTACTGGACCACCTGACCGTGGCAGCTAGCGGATCAAATGGAGGACAGAGCAGTCAGTCTAGGCTTCCACGCTCTCAGGCCAGACTGGAAATCTCCCGCGCTCAAAGGCGTGGCGTGCTTGCAAAGAAGGCTGTGTGTTTATTCATCCTCCTCTTCCAAGGGTGACACAGTCAGGATGTAATCCAACATCCTGCAGTCTGCCGCCAAAACCCACCGAGTCAGCTGTGTCTGGAGGACACACACACACACACACAACAGAGCACGGAGGCTACCCGATTCGTGAATTTTCTCTGCTTTCTTACAGAGTCAGGCCCCAGGGAACAAGAGCACCATTTGGGGAATCTCAGAATCTCAGAGAAGGTCACCTGTCCATGCTCGGCAAGCCCTTCCCTCACTGGGGAAGTGTGTGTACTGGGGAGGTCCATCCTTCCAGGGGGCCTCAGGCCTGGGGTAAAGACCAGACAGGAGCCTCAAGAGCCCATGGGAGTGCCTGTCTTTGGCACACACGTGTGCGCCTACATGTGTGCTCTCACAGAATGACCACTGGCCTGGTGGCATTTCCCGGTCTCGGGAGACCCGTCTGACCTACCCCTCCAGCTTCACTGCAGGCCGACTGCTCCAATGACGCCCCGTGCCCTGAGCAGGCAGCCCCATGCACTGCTCAGCTGCCACCAACTTGGCTCAGAAATGCACCCCAGGTCTCTCCCTGGCTATCAGCTGGCAGTTGGGTAAGTAAAACCTCAGCTCCAACACCAGAGCTGGGGCCGAAGCGTCTGAGCCAGTCAGCAGGCACCATGATGGGCTCAGGTGTGGGCAGGTGACCCAGGCGGGCGGGGTCTTTGCTCTCCTTCAGTGGCCACCAGCCAGAGGCTGCCGCTCACGCACAAATGGCAGAGCCAGAGGGCCAGTGTCTGCCCTCCTATTGAGATTTCCCATAAAGATAAACCCAAACCCACCGATTCCGCACCCCGAGCAGTCCTAGGGGCAGGGAAGCGCTGCCCTGTATTTTCTAGGGCGAAACATCTTTACACACCTCCCGGTACACACACTTCCCCAGTGTGTCGCAGACTGTCCCCACTTCCCGCAGACTGTCACAACTTTTTCCTGAGGGGCGACTGCTCATTGCAAACCGCTGACCACTCCATTGTAGCCAAGTGTTTTAACCTGGCGCCACTAGGCACCTCCTCTGTCCGTCCCTCCCACCCACTGCCATCTTGCCGAGGCTGCATGGTGTCCCTAATCCTTAAACTGATTGAGTGGGCTGCATATTGCTTGTATCTTTACTGCCTCGGTCCCCAAGGTGAGACTCTTCGGATGCTGAGGAACAGAAAAAACAAGGAGATGGGAGGGGAGGATGGTCACATGTCACAGTGTTTGCAACCAAGAGGAGTGGGTGACAAATGATGACATCAGCACCCCTCTGCGGTCCGCTGGGCGGAGCGATCTACACCCTGCTCTCTCACAGAGACTGTCCCCACACTGTGGGCCAGACACCCTAGATTCCACGTTTTAGACGCAAGTAAACCTCACAGAACCCAACACTCAGGTCCGGTCTGACTCATGGTGATCCCATAGGGCAGAGTAGAACTGTCCCACTGGGCTTCCACACAGCTTTAACTCTTTACTGACCCAGACTGCCTCAGCTTTCCCCTGTGGGGCAGACAGTGAATTTGAACCGCTGACCTTTCTGTTAACCGTGGAACGCTTTAGCCACTGGATACACAGAGCCTAGGAAATTCACCAGAGCAGGACAGGCCTCTGCCCCAAGCCACTGTCTCCCTCCCCAATAGGAGGTTCCCAACACATTCGTCCAGTTCCCTGGAATGCACTCAATGGTGCTATCATGTGCCTGGCCCCATGGGAAGGGCTGCCAGGAAGGAAAACATGGAGACCCAAGATTTGGTGTGAACTCAAAGGTCTGCCGGTGGTAACAACAGTGTCGATGCTAACGTGGGAGGAATGTTCGTTCTGTGCGGCTCTGTTCTCCCTTAACCTGTCCCCGGCCTATAACACTGCCTCCACTGTACACATGAGACAACGGAGGCACCTGCCCGAGACCACAAAACTCAGGCAGGCTCTGAATGCAGCCACCTGAGGGCACAGCGGTATGTCCAGCCACACGGCTCTACTGCCTGCTGGAGGAAGCATGGTCACTGGCCTAGCCCTGTGTGGGGGTCCCGGGGAGGAGGGGCGGGCTGTGAGGGATGGCAGAGACTGGGCTCAGGCCACGGTGGGGGTACTTAAGAAAGCCAGTCCCGTGCCCCCACATTTCCCAATTCTGCAAGAAAACCCTGAAATCTAGGTTTTTAGGAGGAGTCCCCTGATTTTGGCAGCAATACAGATTTAGAATCTCACGTGGGCCCAATACAACATGCCTGGGGGCTGGAGCAGACCCACGGCTTGCTGGTGTGCGCCCTGGGCCTGGTGGGCGAGCAGAGTGAGCGGGCAGGGACAATGTCCCACTGTTTGCCGGGCAGGGAGACTCACAGCAGCCGGGTGGGAGAGCCAAACTTGGACCCCGGTGGAAGGCGTCCCCACCCTTACACACCCAGCTCCCTGGCGAACACACTCAGGGGCCCCTCACTGTCCTCAAAGCCCTTAGACAGAGAGCAGGTTGGCAAGCAGGGATACTCTGTGGGGTCATTCTCCCACTTGCTGGTCACTAATAGGCCTTTGGCTCCTGAGACGGGTCCCAGGCTTCTGTCATCCTTTCTTTGGCACATCAAAGACAACGGCCAGAATAACAGGGGCTCGAGCGGCCCATGTCCCAGCCTTCCAGAGCAAGCCAGGCAGGGCAGTCTGCAGCGCAGCCCCGTGGATAACTAGGGCAGCCTCTGCCCCACCAGGAAGGGCTGTCTGAGCCTTCGGCAGTAGCCCGAGTCGCTGGCCTCTAAGCGCTGCCCCTTCCACCAAGAAGC